TGCTGAATCCCATCTGTAAGAGTAGCAGAGTCCAGGACAAAGCAGATTTGTTTCCATAAGAGGTTATGTATTGGTTTGTAAGAAAATATGGTTGTTGAGCTGTGGAACATGGCAAAAAAGAAAATACAGTATTTACTTACTGGAGCTTAAAGTGTTACTAAAGCCAGGATGCTGCAATCACTTTATCTGGTCTCCCACAGCACACACAGAACATGGAAGTGAAATTATTTTAGTAAATATAAACTGATAAATACCTTTTCTCATCAGCAGTATATAGCAGTCTTGTGACTTCTATCAGTGTTCAGCAGAGCACTGGTTAAAGCTTGTAGGAGTTTTCTTTTTGCCCTAGGAGGATGCAGAACCCCTGACCGCTGTCTGAACAGTGCTGATTGGCCCTGTGCTGATCACATGCACTCTCCCAAGAAAATAAAAAAAACTCTCTAGCAATACATACCAAACTGAGCATGTGCAGAGTGACTCCACATGATAGGTCTTATCAGGAGATAAGAGGGGGACACTGGAAGAAGGGGTGGATCAGAGAAGACAGAATCAAACAGCGTTTTTACACTATGCAGAGAATTAACCCTTTAGGTTCCACAGTGAGTATAACAAGCATGCTTTACTGCATATACAGACTGATTTTACTGTTGTGGGTTTAGTAACACTTTAAAGTACTTTGTCAGAAGAATGGCCCATGTGGGTCTTGATTCATGCTGCTCCATATAATCCAATAAACTACCTATCTGTGGACACTGCTCCTTGAACAAGTAACTTCTGACCTGAGAACTGTGAACTTTAGCAGCATTTCAAAAATATTTCAGAACTCTGCAACTGGAGTACTGCACAAGCACCAAGTCCACTAAAACTTGGGATAAATATATGGGGTGCAACGTTCAGGCAACGTTCAGGCACTGTAGACTGTGAAAGATACTGTCAAGCCACCTAGAGACTCAGAAAATACCCTGGAGTAACAACTGCTGACTTCAGGTGTTGAGCCATGCAATTCTGATTTGAAAACTGAAATTGACTACCGAAACGTTTAATGGCATTCATTAGGACCACATGTTTCTGGTCCCTGCACCCCAGTGAAAACCAATCATAATATGTTGGCAATGTGGTGCAGCTCTGTTTTTCTCTCCTGACTTGGTACCTGTTCTCCTATGTGTCTGCAATGGGTTCAGATTTACTTTCCTTCTCTGCCCTAATCTTCCAATATGCTCCAGTCATCATGTTCCTTTGTCCCAGGATTCCCCAAATCTCCTAGATATGGTCAGTGATCCCCTGTGTGACAAAAAAGGCCTATATACCCTATATAAACTAAAAGGATTCATGTGGGCCCTCACATTACATTGTTGTTGGTAAATCTAAAGAAGAATTTACAGAAACTGTACAGTCAAATTGTAAATACTGTATGTGTGGTTAGCTTTGGGATTGGAATTGCAAGGAGGGCTATTTACATAGTTAGTCTGGCTGAAAAAAGACAAAAGTCCATCCAGTTCAACCATTAAAAAATAAATAAATTTATAGTCCTATACCCACAGTTGATCCAGAGGAAGTAAAAAAAAACCAGCAAAGCATGATCTAATTTGCTCCTGCAGGGGAAAAAATTCCTTCCTGATCCCCCAAGAGGCAATCGGATATTCCCTGGATCAACTTTACCTATAACTGTTATTAACCAGTTATATTCTGTGTATCTAAGAAAGAATCCAAGCCTTTTTTAAAGCAATCCACTGAGCTGGCCAGAACCAACTCTTGAGAGAGTCTATTCCACATTTTCACAGCTCTCACTGTGAAGAAACCTTTCCGTGTTTGGAGATTAAGCTTCTTTTCCTCCAGACATAAAGAGTGCCCCCTTGTCCTCTGTGATGACCTCAGGGTGAATAACTCTACACCGAGTTCACTATAGGAACCACTGATGTATTTATAGATGTTGATCATATCCCCCTTAATCTCCTCTTCTCAAGAGTGGTCGGAGACTTTAGGGTAAGTCACTGCACAATGAGTGCCATTCTCCTGACACTAAAAGTAATAGTATGGTTATTGTGTATATTAGATACATTTTTGGAAATGTTTATTATCTCTACTACTTTACAATTTTTCTGCAATTGTTAAAGATTCATTCTCCTTTTTAGACAATATATACTTATTTAACTGCATATGCATTAAAACGTAAACACTTTCTGAGCTTTGACAAATTATTGTCATGGATCCATTAGTGCAGCAATTGGTGTGATTAATTCAAATGGCCTTCGAGCACCAATATATGGATATCTTCACATATGACAACAAAGCTGTTATTATTATTATTATTATACAGCATTTATATAGCGCCAACAGTTTACGCAATATGAGGGCAGACAGTACAAATAGAATACAATTCAATAGAGGGCCCAGCTCATTAGAGCTGACAATCTAAGAGGGATGGTCAAAAGATACAAAAGGTAAAAGCTGTGGGGGATGAGTTGATGGAGAAAATAATAGTAAAGTTGTTAGATGGAGGCAGGATAGGCCCCTCTGAAGAGAAGGGTTTTAGGAATCACCTAAAAGGGGACAAAATAGAAGATAGTGAGACAAATTGGGGTAGGAAATTCCATAAGACGAGAGAGGTTCGGGAGAAGTCCTGCAGGCAAGCATGGGAGGAGGTGAGAAGGGAGCTAGAGAGCAGAAGGTCTTTGGAGGAACAAAGAGAATAATTAGCTTGGTATATTTTGAGACTAGGTTAGTGATGTAGCTGGTGAATGGCTTTGTAAGTTGTTGTTAGTATTTTGAGTTTAATTTGTTGGGTGAGCAGAAGCCAGCAGAGGGATTGGCAGACAGGGGTAGCAGATACTGAATGGCTGGTAAGGTAACCAATTAAGTAGTCGAGGTAGTCAAAGTAGCCAAAGTAGTCAAGGTGAGAGATGGCCTGGGAGTGAATTGGAAGCTTTGTGGTGTCATTGGTTAGTTATTTTGGATAAGTTGTGTAGTTTGAGGTGGCAAGCTTTGGACATTGATTGGATGTGGGGGCCAAAAGAATAGTTCAGAGATTAGGATTACACCTAGCACCTTGGCATGTGGGGACAGGTTGATAGTTGTGCTATTGGTCTTGACAGAGAAGTCAGGGGAAGGAGCACCTGGGGGGAGGAAATATTATGAGCTGAGAGTTTTGGATAGATTGAATTTGAGGAAGTGGTGTGACTTCCAGACTGATACTGTATGTCTGTTAGTAAATTAGTGATGCGTGAGGAAACTGATGGCGTAATCTGAGGGGTAGAGATAGATTTGGGTGTCATCAGTGCAGAAATGGTAATGGAAGCCATGGAAGACTATCAACTGACCCAGGGAAGAACTGTAGATCAAGAATAGGAGAGGTCCATGAACAGAACCTTGGGGGACCCTGATAGACAAAGGAAGAGGAGAGGAGGAAGTAAAATTGTAAGTGATACAGAAGGTGCATTGTGATAGATAGGATGAGAACCAGTGAAGAGTACATTCACGGAGATAAAAGGAGTGGAGTTTTTGAGTTTTGAGGAGGAGGGGGTGGTCCACTGTGTCAAAGACAGCAGAGAGGTCCAGGAGTAGGAGTACAGAATAGTGTCCATTAGTTTAAAGTTGTTCAAAAAGTAGGACACTGATGATATAATTCGATATTTAGGGTCACACAACTATGTTAAGATATATGACTTGAGATGGGAGAAGTGTTACTAAACATTCATTCTTTATACAATGATCACGCTTTATGCAGGCTGAATAAAGTCGTTACCTGGCGCTTCTATGGAAAAGAGAAAACTGGACACAATTAGATTAATTTGATAGCATCAGTTTAGGATCACTGATTATACCAGTAAACAGATGGAGAAGGAACATAATGAAATACTATGCCTCACAAGCCATTTATCAAACGCCGAAGACTGACACACTTTGTATTGAGCAGAACAGCAAATCCACAAAATTCTGTCAAATAAAAAGATTTGGCTCATACGTCATGATTTTCTTTGTTTCATTCCGTTCTAATGGCATCCGTCTAAATGACATTTATTCTATAATTACACATGTAATGTCCTGTATATGGTATGCATCATGGAAACATGGTCAGAATGTTTCAATATTTTTGTATAAAGGATGTCAGACCAACTGTAATGGAGACAGTGAAGTGTCTCTATACATATTAAAAATAAACATACTTAATCACAAATTACTTTTGGGCTTTGGGAAGAAAATACTCAAGAGCTGTTTAAGAGACAAAAGTATTGACAGTTCCTTTCAGATCATGAGACAGCAAGCTCTGTATGATGTATATTCCAAAAGATAGGCCTTGAATCACCATTATTACTTTCTATTTCTTATGTTAAAAACAATAAATTGTAATGTATACAAGTCTAATATAATCTGTTTCATGGCCGGTAGTAAATGTATTCTTTAATGCATATCTTGGGCTAAGCTCACCACGTCTTGTAAATTGTTTTAACCTGAAGGAAAATTATACTTATCTTTGCTGACATGAAAGGGGAAATTTTTTTTTTTTTTTTAACAAAAATACTGTTGAACTGCATCTCAATGAAGCATTAGTGAATGAGCACACTTGTGCAATCAAACATATCTCTTGAAGATTAATTTCAGTGAGTGCTCCCATGATGCTTGTTTTTTGTTGCTAACACACTACTCCACCTTTCTGCCAAAAATTATACTTGTAGTCAATGTTGGGATATAACCTAAATGACAGAGGCACTTATTTATTTTTATGGTGTGCTTCTGAAGAATCCTAATGTCAAGTTTCCTGCTATTTAAACAACAGCTTTTAAAAAAGTTCTTTAACCACTTCCCGACCACCCTATAGCAGAACTACTGCTACAGGATGGCAGGGCTGTGCAAATCACATATATATACATGATTTTGTATTCCCAGGTAGGGGGCGCACACCGCCCTACCCTCGCTGCCATTGGTGGCTACAGCTGTTGATCACCTGGTCCCGGCCAGAGATTCCCCGCCAGTGCCCGGCGATCACCAAAGAACACTGACAGGGGAGAGGTCTGTATGTAAAGAATACTGATCTCTCCCCTGTCAGCAACAGCATGCTGCCTTGTATTGCTCTGCACAGCAGAGCAATCCAAAGCAGCATGCTTACACAGTAAAACAGCACACAGCACATAATGTGAAACACACAGCACACAGTTAACCCTTTGATTGCCCCAGATGTTATCCCCTTCCTGCCCAGTGTCATTAGTACAGTGTCAGTGCTTTTTATTAGCACTGATCACTTTGTTAGTGTCACTGAGGATGTCAGTGAAAGTTAGTCAGTTCCCACCCAGTGTCATAATGCCCGCCGCAGTCCCACTGTAAGTTGCTGATCTCGGCCATTACTAGTACAAAAAAAAAAAATCCAGTATATATACTGCCATTTATTGAAGCTATAACTTTCACACAAACCAAGTAATTTACATGTATTGGGATTTTTTTTAGCAAAGACTTGTAGACATGTATACATTTTGGCCTACATTTTTGACGAAATTAGATTTTTAATTTTTTTTTACTGGATATATTTTATAGTTAAAAGTTAAAAAATATTGGGTTTTTTTCAAAATTGTCTTTTTTTGTTTATAGTGCAAAAATTTAAAAATGCAGTTGCAATCAAATACCACAGAAAGAAATCTCCATTTGTGTGAAAAAAAGGAAATTTTTCTTTGTACTCCTCACCTTTGTGACGCCATACAGTTTTGAAGCCATCAGTTCCAAAAACATTTGTCCTGGTCTCATCACTCCAGAGTACAGAGCCCCAATAGTCTTCTTCTTTTGAATCATTGGCCCTGGCACATTCTAGGTGGGCTTTTTTGTGCATGGGCTTTAGGAGAGGCTTCCTTCGTGGATGACACCCATGCATGCCATTCCTCTGCAGTGTACGCCGTATTGTCATGGAAAACAATCACCCCAGTTTTACTTTCTCCTTCTTTAGCTAACTGCAGTGAACTTGCATGGCAATTTTCTTCAACCCTTCTCATCAGAAGACGTTCCTGTCGAGGTGTTAGCTTCTGTGGACAGCCTGGATGTCTCTGTGAGATGGTTGCAGTTCCATCTTCATTGTATTTTTGTATCACTTTTGCTACAGTATTCTGACTGATAAGTAAAGCTTTGCTTATCTTCGTGTCAGGGTTTGAAATTTCCACTCGCCTGCTCGCAAATGGCGAGTGGAAATTATGGTGGGGGGGCGAGTGTGTCCCCCAGAGCCATCTTGCTGAGCAGGCTCGGAGCTCAGGCCGGATCTGTCATTGGCACTGGGAGCCGTCAGACTTCTCAATAGCTGAGCGCAGTGAAAGCAAAGCAAGGAGTGTATGCTGTGCTCTCTGCCTCCCCCTAGAGCGCAGTACCCGGATCTGTGAGTGAACAACGAAGTACTGCAACGTTTTATGGGAGGGTGTGTGTGTATACGTGTACATGTGTGTGTTTGTGTGTGTCTGTGTAAGCATGTACAATTGTACATGTGTATCTGTACATGTGTCTGCGTGTATGTACATGTATGTGTGGGTGTACATGTGTCTGTGTGTGTGTACATGTGTGTGTGTGTTTGTGTGTATGTACGTACATTTGTCTGTGTGTACATGTGTCTGTGTATGTATGTACATGTGTCTGTGTGTATGTACATGTGTCTGTGCATGTGTATTTCTGTGTATGTACATGTATCTGTGTGTATGCGTGTCTGTACGTGCATGTATGTGTATGTGTATACATGTGTCTGTTTGTGTGTGTGTGTGTGTGTACATGTGTCTCTGTGCGTGTGTATGTACATGTTTCTGTGTGTGTGTGTATGTACATGTGTGTGTGTGTATAGGTGTATCTGTTTGTGTGTGCTTGTTGGTGGCGAGTAACTCTAAGGCCTGGCTAGTAGCTCAGGACTTGAAATTTTAAGCCATCTTGTAGCCTTCACCTTTCTTGTGTAAAGAAATAATTTTCTTTCTCAGGTCTTGTGACATTTCTCTTCCATGTGGTGCCATTGCTGACAGCATGAAATGGGAAGGGGTTTTCTTTGTTAAGTAATGCCCTTTTCTAATTAATGGTCTGCTAGACACTTGTTTAATGAATAACTAGACTCACCTGTAGCTGAATTCTTGTTAATTAGGATTATGTAGTCTAAAATTTAGCTTTGCTCCTAAGCAGGCCTGGATTTGCCATAGGGCACACTAGCATTTGCCCAGTGGGCCAGAGCCGCCTGGATAGGAGGGGCGGTACATAGAGGAACCGGACTGTACATTTCTCAGTTCCTCTATGTGCCACCTGGCCGCCCCTCCTATCCATCTCCTGCATGCCATGGGATCCTGCATGCTCCCCCACGGCCACCTTCCCATCTCCTGCAGTACTGCCATTGAGTTCCACCTTTCCAGCATATTCTGTCCCCAGTGCTGACAGTTCCTTGCTCACGACAGATGGGAGAGGAGAGAAAAAGCTGCCCCACTCACACTCCCCACCAGTCTTGTGTCTTCTCTCCCCCTTCTTTCTTTCCCTCCTTCCATCTTTCCCTCCTTACTTCCTTCTTTCCTTGGTTCCACCTTCTTTCTTTCCCTCCTTCTTTCTTTCCCTTCTTCTCTCTTTCCTTCTTTCCCTCCTTCCTTCTTTCCCTTTTTCTTTCCCTCCTTCCTTCTTTCCTCCTTCCATCTTTCCCTTTTTCTTTTCCTCCTTCATTCTTTCCCTCTTTCTTTTCTTCCTTCTTTCCCTCATTCCCTTCCTCTTTCCTTCCAACCTTCTTTCTCCCTCCTTCCTTGTTTCCCGCCTTCCTTCTTTCCCTCTTTCCTTCTTCCCCTCTTTCTTTTTTTTTCCTATTTTTCTTTCCTTCCTTCCTTCTTTTTCCCTCTTTTCTTATCTCCCTCCTTCCTTCCTTCCTTCCTTCCTTCCTTCCTTCCTTCCCTTCCTTCCTTCTTTCCTTCTTTCCCTCCTTCCTTTTTCCCCTCTTTCTTTTTCTCTTTCTTTCCCTCATTCCTACTTTCCCTCCTTCCTTCTTTCTTTCTTTCTTTCCATCCCTCTTTCTTTTCCTCCTTCCTTTTTTCCTTCTTTCCCTCTTTCCTTCTCTCCCTCCTTCCTTCTTTCCCTCCTTCCTTCTTTCCCTCCTTCCTTCTTTCCATCCCTCTTTCTTTCCCTCCTTCCTTTTTTTCCTTCTTTCCCTCCTTCCTTCTTTCCCTCCTTCTTTCCATCCCTCTTTCTTTCCCTCCTTCCTTTTTTCCTTCTTTCCCCCTTTCCTTCTTTCCCTCCTTCCTTCTTTCCCTCTTTCCTTCTTTCCCTCCCGTTTTTCCCTCCTTCCTTCTTTTCCTCCTTCCTTCTTTCCCTCCTTCCTTCTTTTCCTCCTTCCTTCTTTTCCTCCTTCCTTCTTTCCTTCTTTCCCTCTTTCCTTCTTTCCCTCTTTCCTTCTTTCCACCCTTCCTTCTTTCCTTCTCTCCCTCTTTCCTTCTTTCCCTCCTTCCTTCTCTCCCTCCTTCCTAAATTAAAATGAAAACCTACTGACACTAGTGGCGAAACTACCAAGGTCGCAAAGGTCACCCTTGTGACCCAGCCCTGGCGTTCTGCCTCCGTGCTCCGAAGAAAACAGTCCCCGGGCTTGGGGCTGCTCAGTCCAAAATGCCCGGACCTATTTTTTTTCACCTAGTCTGAGCCTGCTCTTAAGACTTTCATTGGGGTGTATTCATTTTTGCAACATTTCCTTGAATTAATTTGTTAGGAAAAATACTTTTTTGCGTGTGCAACTTAACTTGTTTTCAATCAATGGCCCGCATTTGTGGGAGTTTTTTGTAGTATAGTGTCTCATAGAAAATGTTGATTCTGAAAGGAAAGTAAAGGTTTGCTGACAAATCTGTTGGGGTGTACTCATTTATGCTGAGCACTGTATATTGCAGCCTCCTCCCGGCCTATTAAGAGGTTCTAAATTCCATGAGGTGGAGGTGGGCATTCTGATCATGTGACAGTTGTGATTTCCCTCCTTCCTATTTTCCCCTCTTTCTTTTCTTCCTTCTTTCCTTCTTTATTTTCCTCCTTCTGTCTTTCCCTCCTTCCTTCCTTCTTTCCCTCCCTCCTTTTTTTCCCTCTTTCCTTCTTTCCCTCTTTCTTTCCCTCCTTCCTTCTTTCCTTCCTTCTTTCCCTCTTTCTTTTCCTCCTTCTTTCCCTCTTTCTTTTCCTCCTTCTTTCCCTCTTTCTTTGCCCTCCTTCCTTCTTTCCCTCTTTATTTTCCTCCTTCTTTCCCTCTTTCTTTCTTTTCCTCTTTACTTCTTTCCCACCTTCCTTCTTTCCCTCTTTCCTTCTTTCCCTCTTTCCTTCTTTCCCTTCTTCCTTTTTTCCCTCTTTCTTTTCCTCCTTCTTTCCCTCTTTCTTTTGCCTCCTTCCTTCTCTGCCTCCTTCCTTCTTTCCCTCCTTCTTTCCTTCCCTCCTTCTTTCCCTCCTTCCCTCTTTACTTCTTTCCATCTTTCTTTCCCTCCTTCCTTCTCTGCCTCCTTCCTTCTTTCCCTCCTTCCCTCTTTCCTTCTTTCCATCCTTCCTTCTTTCCCTCTTTCCTTCTTCCCCTCCTTCGTTTTTTCCGTCCTTCCCTCTTTCCCTCCTTCCTTCTTTCCATCCTTCCTTCTTTCCCTCTTTCCTTCTTTCCCTCCTTCCTTCTTTCCCTCCTTCCTTCTTTCCCTCTTTCCTTCTTTCTCTCTTTCCTTCTTTCACTCTTTCCTTCTTTCCCTCCTTCCTACTTTTCCTCCTTCCTTCTTTCCCTCTTTCCTTCTTTCCCTCCTTCCTTCTTTCCCTCCTTCCTTCTTTCCATCCTTCCTTCTTTCCCTCTTTCCTTCTTTCCATCCTTCCTTCTCTCCCTCCTTCCTAAATTAAATTAAAAACCTGCTAACACTAGTGGCGGAACTACCAAGGTCGCAAAGGTCACACTTGTGACCCGGCCGTGGTGTTCTGCCTCCGGGCTCCGAGGAAAGAGTCCCTGGGCTTGGGGCTACTCTGTCCAAAATGCCCGGGCCTATTTTTTCTCCTAGTGACCTAGTCTGAGCCTGCTCTTAAGACTTTCATTGGGGTGTATTCATTTTTGCAACATTTCCTTGAATTAATTTGTTAGGAAAATTATTTTTTTGTGTGTGCAAATGAACTTGTTTTCAATCAATGGCCCGCATTTGTGGGAGTATTTTGTAGTATAGTGTCTCATAGGAAATGTTGATTCTGAAAGGAAAGGAAAGGTTTGCTGACAAATCTGCTGGGGTGTACTCATTTATGCTGAGCACTGTATATTGCAGCCTCCTCCCGACCCTTTAAGAGGTTCTAAATTCCATGAGGTGGAGGTGGGCATTCTGATCATGTGACAGTTGTGATTGGCAGTCACAGTAGTAGGTGTAATACCCTTTTAGAGATACCACTTCCCTTGCAATATTAGTGGGTGGAGTCTGTGTTCGTTATTAACAGCTGTGGGTGGAGCCCTGGGTAGGAGGATGCATGGGAATTGATCACCCCTGACAAACATCATGTAGGTTGATGATCTGTGTCTGTGCCATGGGGTTGGACTCTCCAGAAGCCTAAGGTGAGAACCTATGTAAGAGGGGCTCACAAGGGAGAAGGTGAGAGGATATAATTTACCCCTGACCTACAGCCTACATCTTGCAGGTCTGTACACTGGAGTGTGGAGGCCTTCTTCTTACATATGTAGGAGATGGGCCTCAGGCTTGGAGTCTCTATGACACAATACAATGAACAAGACAGGCATGTGGTATCCTCTCTGGATACTGGGACTTGGGCAAGTTTGGCAGGAATCGCTGTCCTATCCAGAGCTGAATCAGCTTTAGGCCCAAGTTGATTAGAGTTATATGAACTGTAAAATTTTAGCTTTGGCTCCTTCTCTGCCCCTTCTTCCTCCTCAATTGTCCCTCTTTTTAGTCATATCTATAAAATTTTATAAAAATCTACTATTTAACTACCAAAAGTGTTATGTTACACTAATATAAAGAAAAAGTGGTAGTGAAAAAAGCCCTTTTAGGTGTAAGCAACCATTTTTTGATTGTTGATTATTCATGAGTCACGTAACTGGGGGTTTGACAATAGTGTGTGCTACCTACATACTGTGTCCTAAAAGGCATTCCTCTTTCCCATCCCTGAATCTTGGGAGGCATCTTACTACCATTCACAAAGATCTGGCTATAATTATATTAGGACTTATTTAAAAGAATAATTAACCCACTCTAATTATGTGTGGCCAGTAGATAGTAAGTAGGTGGATATCCTGTGTAACTAATATCTGTAACCATTATAATTGTGTAGGATAGCTATTGCATAATCAGCATAACCTGGGAAATTGCCGGCATAGACCCAGCAATCCCAGAGTTTTGATCTGGTTGCCTAGTCATTACTGGAATCGTTATAATCTCTAGTATTCCTATTCCATTTAAACAAAGTGCAGTGTATTTGATGTGATTTCTCAAGCATGCTGTGATGTGAGAGTAGACACCCTGGCAAGGAGAGGGGAGAGGTCCAGGATGCACAGGTGCCAGCCTGATGAGGATTCAAGAGTGGGAAGAGATAGTTGAGCACGGCACAATGCCCTTGCAGCTGAGAGAGAACATAGTACATATGTTTGCTTGGAATAAATACTGT